TTCTTACATATATAGATGTATCATGTATTGGTTTTCAACCAGCACATCTATTTCAGTTATGGGTTTAGGACTGGTCTTCATAGATATTCTAATAAATGGAAAGAAATACGTCCAAAGTAGTGGTGATGTGTAAAACTTTTGACAGTTGAAAGCATATGGCCAATTCATATGTGTATCACAATTAATATCAAATCTTTTATCGAAGATCTGTGTAAAGAAAGATGATTCCTTCTGACATTCTCTTCACGTCTTCATATTCATATTGGTAAAACTTCACAGTATTCAGCAATGCAGGAGACTCATCTTTCTATGTAGAATATGGTTGTTTTTTAATAATGAGATCACCCTTAATTTGTAAAGTAACCGTCTGTCTGTCTATTTTCGACATAGAACTTTGCACCGATGTGCACCAGTTCAAGTCGCCACACTCCATGTTGCACACAAAGCAAGAGAGGAAAGCAGAATAAGTGCAAAACAGAGACAGTAGACAAGGATATGAGACGAAAGGAATAGTAATAGAGAAGAACAATATAGTTTCATTGGTTATTATAAGTCACAAGGAGCGGATGCATCTAACTGCTCCAGCCATCGGTGTTTACTGTCCCGGGGACCCCAACCATGAAGTCTACGTCTCCCGACGTGACTTAAACTAACTGCTGTGGATTTCATTAACTGGTGCCATGTTTTGGTTTGACCACCAATGGCTAGCTCTTTTCCAGGCTGACCCTGTGTCAGCTAACATCGCCCGTCAGTCGAGGAAGGCGATGGCTAGAAATGCCTAGCACATGTCCTAGCCATTTCAATCTGTGTAGCTCCACAACCTCGTCGATTGATTTCCCCTCCCACCTACGTAGCACTTGGCCAATGCCCAACCGCAGCATTTCTCAACTTATTACACCACTTAACTGACTTACACCATCTCTGGCGTAGGCGTGACATCCGGTTATCAACCAAGGGACGTGTGTATGCTCATCAGTTCGCTCCGTCCTTGTTATGGCTCTGAAACATGGCCAATACGCGTTGAAGACATGAAAAGGTTGACTGCTTTCGATCATAGATGTCTGCGATCTCTGTCTCACGTTAGGTGGTTTAACAGGGTAAGTATGTTGACGTTAGGGTAGAGTGTTGGGCAAAGAGGGAAAATCAATTGACGAGGCTATAAAGTTACATAGTCTGAGATGGCTAGGTCACGTGCTGCGCATGCCAAACCACCGCCTCCCCGACGGGCTTTGCTAGCTGATATAGGTTCAGGTTGGAAAGAGCAGTGGTGGCCAAACAAAAACATGGCATCAATCATGAAATCCTTGACAGTTAAACTGAGTCAGGTAGGGAGATGCAGACTTCGGGTTGGGGCCTCGGGACTCTAGGAATCAATGGCTGGAGACAATAGGTGACATGGCTCAATCGTGTCAATGGCGCAGATGTATTCAGTCTCTGTAATCTTTCATATTCCTTTCTACAATTACCCACTCTGTTTCACTCTTTATTTGTCAACTGTATGATTCTCTTCATCATTTTTTCTACCTCTGTGCTATTTGGAACGTGGCAACTCGAACTGGTGCACTTCGGTGCCAAGTTCTATGTTGATCCAGACAACGAGACAGAACGCAGGCACCTATGATCAAAGACAGCTAGCCGGCCTTTTCATGTCTTCCACTCTCAGTGACCAGATCTTATAGCCATAAAGGAGGACGGAGTGGACTGCTAAGCAGTACATACGCATTTTGGTTGATACCTGGATATCGCGTCTACGCCAGAGACCGCGTAATTTGGCATATGCGAAACTAGCCCTCTGTATCCATTCTGGGATTTCTTTAGTGATCAACCCGTTCTCGCTGGCTGATGCAGCTTATGAAATAACTGAAGTGCTCAACACGCTCCACCAACCACTTCACTCCCTATTTCTAAACTAGGAGTGAGTCAATGCAGTCCAGTCCTGTAGCATCATCTTACATTCAGTGGGAGAGAATCGCATGCCAAACATTCGCAAATTGCAGCTCAAGGTGTTCAGAAGACTCTGCTGCATTTAGTCAGCGTCCTTACCTAGAAGGACTTTATCATTTGCATATTCTAAGTCAACGAGATTATTCTCCCGAGTCTCTTAAGTTAGGGTCAAGTCAATACATACATCTATGATGAAATTAAATAGAAATGGGGATAGTGGGCATCCCTAACGGACACCACTAGTTGTCACCACTTCAGATGACAACTCGCCGTAACCGTAATTTAGCTTGTGTTTATATGTTAATTGTGGTGAGCTGAATTAAATCACAACACATAATGTCGAATGACTGATTAGTCAGAACAGATCCATACAGTATGTGTGGAAGAAATAATTTGATAATTTATTTTTTTGATTTTTGTTTTGCATTTGTTTGATTAATGGGTATTAAACAAAGATATTATGCATTGAAGAAAGTAGTAGTCAATATTAGAGTGCATAGCACATCATTTGCCATACCAATATAAGTCCTCCTGTTACTTTGTGTTCTGATAATGATGTCAGTTGGTTGGAGACAGTCGGCGGGAAGCCTTAAACCTAGATTTCTGGCTTGTTGAAACTCGTTAACAAGATGTATTTGCGATCTTGTTGTAGGTAATCATGTCCCTGGGAGATTCGAACCTGGGGTTACCTAAAGCTTCAACTAATCAGCGACGTTATCACAGCTATTCAGAGTCAAATTGACTTCCTGTACTGGTAAGATGGATACGTTAGTTGATCACTGCGTGGTAACTAGTATCATGCGTCTGTTTCTTCACTTGATGCCGGCTGGATTCCATCAGCGAAGTTTGCATTGTGGCCACCAAGCTAGCTGACTCATGAACTCAACACTGATTTGAAGTTGTAGGGTTGGAAGAAAGCCTCGGAAGGTGATTTTGTGCTTGTTGACACTCGTAAGCAAGGTATATGCACAATATCGACAGAATTAATGTTTCCTGCGATACTCGGCTGAATTTTTAAAAACCCAATCATATTCTTCATCGACGAGGCTATAAAGTTACATAGATTGAGATGGCTAGGTCACGTGCTGCGCATGCCTAACCACCGCCTCCCCCGATTTGCTAGCTGATATAGGTTCAGGTTGGAAAAGAGCCAGTGGTGGCCAAACAAAAACATGGCCTCATCAATCCATGAAATCCTTGACAGTTAAACTGAGTCGGTCAGGTAGGGAGATGCAGACTTCCGGGTTGGGGCTCGGGACTCTGGAATCAATGGCTGGAGACAATAGGTGACATGGCTCAAAATCGTTGTCAATGGCCAGCGCAGATGTATTCAGTCTCTGTAATCTTTCATATTCCTTTCTACAATTACCCACTCTGTTTCACTCTTATATTTGTCAGACTGTATTGATTCTCTTCATCATCTCCTTGTCTACCTTGTGTGCCAAATGGAACGTGGCAACTCGAACTGGTGCACTTCGGTGTCAAGTTCTATGTTGAATCCAGACAGACAGACAATCATATTCTACGTAAAGTTAATCTGTTCACCATATTATTAGAGGGAAAAGAACAAGAAGTTCAGCAAAGATGGAGATCTTTTCGGCGATTTCACTCTTAAAAGCAGCTGTACAATCGCATTTATATACGCTTAAGTTTACATGGATTCCACATAGTAGGAAAGGCGATAATAATTTCCAAATTGATATGAAATTTCTGAAGGTACGAATATAGATTACAAGGGGCTTAGAGACAAGATTGCATAGGATTAGAAAACAGTTACAACGTATGCAAAATTAATATTTGATAACTGGAGAAATAATTTTAAAGGTGAATAAAAGGAGATAATTATTTACAAATTGATATGAATTACAAGAAGATTAGAAGCAAAAATTACACAGGGATAGAACGAATTACAGGTGTGAACAAAATGAGCATGGAAACAAACTGAAATCAAAATTTTCCAACTTGAAATGTAAGTTAGAAGGTGTGAATATAGATAACAAGAGGCGCAGAAACAAAAAAAATTACAAAGGATTAGAATATAATTGTAAAATGGTTATCCTAAACGGATACGAAGTGTGATCAGGAGGAGCATGGAAACAAACATAAAATAATTGATTTTATAACTGACGAAAAATGGGATGAATTGAACGAAGACAGAGAGATAAGAATCACACACACAGAGGACAAAAACAACAACTGAAGGTTAAGGGAACATACCGAATTAGGTCCACGGTAGTTGTAAAGGCTGGACTAGTTTCTTTTGAACAACCTTTACAACTACCGTGGACCCAATTCGGTATGTTCCCTTAACCTTCAGTTGTTGTTTTTGTCCTCTGTGTGTGTGATTCTTATTCTCTCTGTCTTCGTTCAATTCATCCCATTTTTCGTCAGTTATAAAATCAATTATTTTATGTTTGTTTCCATGCTCCTCCTGATCACACTTCGTATCCGTTTAGGATAACCATTTTACAATTATATTCTAATCCTTTGTAATTTTTTTGTTTCTGCGCCTCTTGTTATCTATATTCACACCTTCTAACTTACATTTCAAGTTGGAAAATTTTGATTTCAGTTTGTTTCCATGCTCATTTTGTTCACACCTGTAATTCGTTCTATCCCTGTGTAATTTTTGCTTCTAATCTTCTTGTAATTCATATCAAGTTGAAAATTATTATCACCTTCGTTACTATGTCTCAGTAATTAAATAATAATTTTGCATGAATCCATGTAAACTTAAGCGTATATAAATGCGATTGTACAGCTGCTTTTAAGAGTGAAATCGCCGAAAAGATCTCCATCTTTGCTGAACTTCTTGTTCTTTTCCCTCTAATGTCCCGATGGGTATTTTCCACCATATTATTGCATATTATGCGGAAGTTTTATCATATAAATATAAAAATCTAAGGAGAATTTATGGAGATATTCTAGGCTGTGAAAGTGTATCGGGTACTTTTAGCATTAATTATTATTATTACTATTGATTCCAGATTGTTCACTTCAATTATGACTGATACAAACTCCGTCAATTCCACAGAAAATGCTGAAAAACCCTTAACATGGATAAAAAAGGCATACCAAAAGCTGAATTCATTGAAGATGTCGACGCCTATATGAAAGCCAACAATTATACAACATTTATGGAAGTTGGAAGATATTTTGAAGAGTTATATCAAAAGTATAAAATTATTGAACAAGCCCTACTACAACGTCGAATTCGGCTAATGCAACAATTACCAGATATACAAAAAACACTGGCTGTTGTTCGTCAATTACAAAAACAGCATACTAATTTAGATGTGACATTTGAAGTCTCTAACCAATTGTTTGCACGTGCTTTTATTCCAAAGGCGGACAAAGTTGGCCTATGGCTGGGCGCTAATGTTATGCTAGAATATGATCTTGATGAGGCAGATAAAATACTCGTGGAAAATGAACAATCTGCTCAACAGTCGTTAGAAGATGTTGATCAAACCCTTGAATTTCTTAAAAATCAAACCACTACAGTTGAAGTCAATTTGGCACGTTTGCACAACTTGTCTGTGAAACGTGGTCGTCAAAATCAATCATCAGATGGTTTGAAAGCCTAAAAGAGAGTAGATGGTAGAGGAAATGTGTGTTTCAACAGGCGTAAATATACACCAATCACATCTGTACAATGTATAGATCTTATTTGTCATTTATTGATCTCAACTTGATCTTATTTTTTGTCCTTTTTTTAAAAAAAGGTCTTTTGTATTTACTTTCACAGTGTGTGTGTGTATGTATGTATATGCTTATTGTAAATCTTCCTGATGGTGGTATCGTTTTGCCTTCCTCTTCTCCTTCGAAATATTACCGTTGTGGCTGACAGTTTCTCTGTGCTCTAAAAGAAGACCTCTTCCCCCCCTATTCTCATGCTCAGTTTCTTCTTCTTTTCTCTTTTCTTTTTTTTGAATGTCTCTGCACTGTTTGCCTAAACACGCCCTTGAAATTGCTTCTAGTTATTGTAATTACACGGAAACTATTCATACACAAAGCATTATAATGGTGCTGGAGTCTGCTTTATTTTTGGCTTCTGTATAAAATAGTTTCACGTCTCTCTCTCTCTTTTATTCCCATAGCATATTGCATTGTTAGGGAAATGTGTATATGAATATAATAATAATAATTACTATTTAGCTATTTTTTATTAGAATAGAAAATCATAATTTCCAATCTTGTTGTATAACTCTAAGACAAAAAAGGTGTATTTAAGGAGTAATATGTGGTGCAGAAGGGAACAGTGTTGTGCATATATGTGTATTGAACTGGTTACCTCGACACTACACACATACACAAACACACACGATTGTTTTACATTTTACATTTCAAGTGTTGTGTTTAATTTTAAAAAAAAGATATGTTGCTTTTTGAGGAAAAATTTATTTATGCATATATTTTTAAAAGTGATGGACTGCATATGTTAGCTATAAATATATTTCATGTTAATTGAACGACTACTTGCGATTTCGTATTGTTGGCAATGAGAATGTTGTGGGATGTGGAGCTGGGTCCGAACTGGTTACCTACTGGTTTGAAAGTCGAGTCTTTAGGACTGATGAGCAACACATTTCCTTTGTGTTTCTCAAAAGGGTATCTTTATCACAGAAATTAAAAAAAAGGTGTTATTGGATTCTCGTTTTACATCAATTATTGTTTAGGGAAACTTGTTAACTACTTGCAATTGAGGGTGGATAGAGGCCAAGTTAAGCACTTTAAGCACCAATAACAACAACAACTACCAATGACTGTGAAACGCGCTCACTGAGCAAGCTGGTTAGTGAAACCTGCCAGGTAATGTTGTCATCATCAATCCAAAAAATATGCTCATCGATGTGTTATGCTATTTTTAATGGGATGTCTGGCAAGTTGCAGCTTAGGTGTTTGAGAAAGATTAAGGTACGCTTTAAGCCAATGACAAGTTAGGGTTAGGTTAACCTAAAAAATAAAGGCGACATTAGGGTTGGTTCGAGGTGGATTACTGTTAGATCAGGGATATTTTCACGTTTTTTTTTTGATTTACAGCTAGATTCCACACTGTATTTTTGGTACAAGTATGGAATTTTCAGCATGGATATCGGTAGCCCAAATTTTGCAGGCCGACCATAGATATCAGATGTGCGTCGGTGCGGGCTCGAACCCTGGACCATGTGCATGGTCGGCGAGAGTCCTAACCACTGTGCCACCGACGCACAGTGGGTTAGGTTCAGGAAAGATTAGGGTTATTGTTAGGGTTAGAAGACGTAAATAATTACACGCATAGAATGTGGTCAAATTACTCTGTTGATATAAGAACAGTACTTTTGCACTGTGGTAGAGTAGCATTTATTTTGATAAGTTCTCACAGTGTTATACAGTAATATTTAGTGACTGCGTCTCGAGTACAATTTATTGTATTGTGAGACTTTATCAAAATAAATTTTACCCATAATGGAATTATACTCTGTTGATATAGACACCAACCTTAAACTGAGAGCTATTTTTATCACATGTGAGAGTAAGCTATCCTCTAAAACACTTCTGCAGTCTTTATGCATTTTTCTCATAAATATATATGTACTCCATACACAAAAATGCCTCCTTCACGTAATTGGTGCGTTTGAGGTCATTTACTGACTGGTGGTAGTTAGTGGTACTTAAAGTTTAACTTTGCTTGAGTAGACTTGGGTCATTTTCTCGAAACGCTCTCAATGGTCTAAATAGCCTCTGTTGGGTAAGTTCTATTCACTGTCTTCACGTGGTAAGAAGAGGTGGTCCACACAAAAAAGGAAGCGGTGAATGCGAATATCTGTCACTTATAACCGAACCGGTGGACATGCAGGTGTACCCCGAGGGGCTGGGAAATCTGGTACCAAACTTATAGTGAACATGGGCTCCAGAATCCAAGAGGATTGAATGGCAATATGAGCCTGTCTTGGTCACCGGAAACTATGGCGGCGCTGCTCTACTGCCTTGTGGATCACACTTCAAGTCAAAGACTCGGCAATGGGACGCACCCCTAAGGAAATCACCTGTTTCGGTTCATGTGTCTTGGCAGTAACTCAAACCTCGCACAAACTATGAGGCAATTTGTTTTAGCATATCTCTTGGTACCAAGTGTGTTACAGAGCTGAACGGCGCTTCACCTACATCATAACCTTTGTAATGAGTATTAGGATCATTAGCCCTCACATACAATACGTATGACTGAATAGATGATTGGTAATATGAAATATCTCTCCCGGGTAATTGAGTTCAAAGTGATGTGAGTCCACATTACGCCTTAAAGTCATATTTAGAAAAGCTATTCGACGCAAAAAAATATCTGATACTACTGGGCTTAATAATAGAATTAATGTTGAAGTATATAAGGGTTTGTTGATAATGGATCAAGATGATATTTTCTATAGTTGGTTTGTAAGGATTAATTTTGTTTTTACGAGTGTTGATCACGGATTTATGGATGTCCCATCGATGACACTGGTTGGTGGTCGCGCTAAATCACGAATTGGTAGAAGTTAGATTTCATGCACTGGCCATTGAGGGATCAGGTCCAAATGGCTGAATGGTATACTTGCTCGCTTGCCTTGTAAGAGGTTTTGTGTGCGTTTCGGATTGTGAGGGCGATTGTTACTTCCCGGCTGCCCACACCGTGGAAGTTGGTTGCGTGACCGCAGAGCCCAGGGGACAACTGCTTGAGGCCGGTCACACGCGGCCTGTTTTTGTTTGTTCTCTTTTGTTTGGTGTGCCTCAGTAGCATACTTATCACTTCTGCCCTGTGACACGGCAGCAGGAAGCGCGGTCGTTGTTAATCCGGGTCACGGCCGATCCGGCATGAAATTTTGTGATTTTGTATTGGTCATGATGTTGGATTGGGTAGCTGCTTTTTGTTTAACGGCTATCCAAAGAACCTGCCTGGCATGGTAGGACCTCAAGAGACATAAGTCTCAGCCAGTATAGCTTGAATAGATCATTGCGGTGTTCAAGCCCGACCACCGTCAAGGTAGCAGCTTTCGGTCGGGTTGCCTTGTAACCGTAAGGTCCTGGGTTTGACGCCTGGCAGTGGGTGCGTACTTCTGATGATTCCCAAACTAGGATAGGAGAAACAGCTGTCCAGTACTCCAGTGCTGGTTTTCAATGGTTCTTCTCTAACTGATATCAATCCTTGATCAACTCGTAAAAATAAAGATATTGATTGAAATAGACTTACATAATTTAGTAGGTAGTCACTTATTGTTGTTAAATGTGCAAGGAGATTTTGTACTTTATAGGGTTCGAAGTGAAGAAATCGTGTTTAGCAGATACCGGATCAATTATTTGTGAAACTAAAAGGGAAATTGGCAGTTCCATATTAGTTTGTTTATTAGATGTCATATCACACAGTCAGTAAAACAGTATTATTTACAGTTTCGAACAAAATTCATCGTTCATAATCATTTCATCAATTATAATCACACACGACTTCGATACTTGAGTTTTATAGTTTTCTTTGTTCTCTCCACCTATTTGTCGTCGTTGGGGTGTAGTAGAATTTTCCAGATATCTGAGTGGACAGGTGTTGAAACATTCCTATCACACATATTCTCTTCAATTGATTCGATAAACAAAGTTCCTGTTATCAATCTCTCCCTCCACCATGTTAATTGTATTAGATTTTAAAACTGTCATCTCATCGCATCCATCCTATTTTATGGGTGTGTAATTGCATTTAGTGAGTGTTATAGCTGAACTTTTTCTTTAGATTTCTTATCTTATTCGGGTCAACTAATCTAGATTTTGCTGGTAGGTTTTTATGTTCTGCCAGCCTCACTGCACCTGTTCTACAACTTTGACCTGACAATCATTGCAGGTAGGGTATTAGATAAACTAAATTGTTTTGTTTTTAAGGTCCCACAGGATTGATCCTTTAACCGACAAATCTTGTTTCTAATTGAGTTTGTGGGTAGTTTGAATGCCAGCCACTTTTATTCCTGCCTGCCTTGTTAAGAATTCGGCGTAAGGTGGTTTTCGAGGTTCTTTCCTTGTATGGAATTACTACTGATGATTTAGATTCCTTATTGTTGGTGTTGTCTTGCGCCTGTTTGATATGCATTTCGTCATTAATATTACTATTACTATTATTATTATTATCACTATCACTACTGTCATTATTTATTTTAACATTTCCTTACATATTTATTGACTCATTTATCAGGGTAATAATTAAGTTCCAAAGCTTCTCTTATATACCTCACTTCCTGTCTTAGATTTTCCTTGGTGCTACTTAGTTTTTATGCCCTGACACTCAAACATTTCACCAATCCTATTTTCACTGACATAAGATGGGATGATAGAAAGTCTAAATATTTGTTTGAATGTGTGGGTTTCCTATAAACACTAGTGTTTCATTGTGTGATACATCTAATAAATAAACTAATACGGAATTACTTGCTACCCCAGTGTCCAAGATTTACCCACATATATTGAAATTTACAGTTATCGAAAATGATAATACGGATAATATTTGTAGTCTCAGAACGATCAGGAAAGATATTCTTAGCTGTATCTCAGTTGAAGGAGGAGTACTGGGGGAACGTTTCTTCACGCCTAACTTGGGTTGAAACCTTTTGAATGCCACTGCCTCAGCCTTCCGTAACCATTTTTCTAAAAAAAAACTCCTTTGCATTCTAAGTACAACATAGGGCTTTAAGCATGAGTTCTAATTTTTCTTTGGCGGTGGTTTTTATTTTTACGGGATGGAATCGGCGGTGTTAGGCGCAACCCTCCCTTTTTACACTTGACTCATTCTCAGTTAGATGAGGTTTTAGAGGCTCCCGGCTGGGAATGGAACCCTTGATCATATACGTGGGTGGTGAACATTACCAATGGCCAACTACAGAAGGTGTATAAACCGAAAGAAATTGAGTTGTTACTTTGTAAATGTTGAATTTGTAAGAATATGCTGGTTAGTGTTCACCAGATTAGCTGGTATAGAGTTCTCGATAGACTTTGTCCTTAATTGCATTTTAAGATGCACAAGAAAATTGCGGTAGGCTTGCTGAATCTTTTCGTTTGCACTCTTTTCACCTTGTGCCTATCTCTAGATACCAAGCAATTTATATTGTGTTGAAGGATCATCTAGGACGTTGACTGATTCCATTGTAGTGTTTCTTAAGAATTCTTACCATTTTGAGGACTAATAACTTCTTAATTTGAGTCCACTTCGTTTTGATTTAGAAGTCATCATTCGTGTGAATCCGCGTTGCTTAACCATCTAGTTTTGTGAAGTACAGGTTAGCATCGAGGCATTTACTAAGCAACCAAAAATGCGCGTTTTACAAGTAATCCTCCGTAATATATTACACTTATCACGTAATTGGTTCATCAGTGTCTATACACTAACCTTTCTTGACAAGATCGACGATGGGTTCTCATTAAAATTTGAGTAAATCTGTCTGCTAGATGACTTTCCATCTGAAAGATTGATGTCTGTCTGTCTGTTTTCGATATAGAACTTTGCACCGATGTGCGGTAGTTCAAGTCGCCACACTCCTCATTGTAGCACACAAAACAAGAGAAGAAAGTAGAAGAACTGCGTAATAGAGACAGTAAACAGAGGTGTGAGACAAAAGGAATAGGAATAACGAAGAACAATATAGTTTCATTGGAAATCATAAGTGATGACACCTCCTCCTTCTAATAACGAAGTAAACCTCACCATTTTCCATAACGCGATATCTCCACAGTGTTAGTGCTACCGAACTGTTGACAGGAGGCTATTTTCTCTGTTTCAACAGCTACATCTGTCAAAGGCTGTTTTAAAACCCAGTAACTACAAATATGTGCATCGGTGGCACAGTGGTTAGCACGCTCGCCAGCCATGCATATGGTCCTGGGTTCGATTCCCGAGCGACGCACTCCTTTACCTCTCTATGCCAGAAATAATGCTGGTAAAGAGGAATGGTTGGGCATGAGGCTAGCAACCCCGTCCTGTAAAACAAAACATTGCTACAGAAACTTCAAGCCACTAGCTTGAAGCCCTATGTTCCACTGGGAACGTGAAGGAAAAATATGAAAAAACTACAAATATACCAAATCTGGGTTAAGGACAATTGGGGACTGCCAAAATATTGTTCCTAAGCAACATTAGAATCATCACTTTACCTTCCCTAATATTTGACTCGAATCAAGCGGAATACATCCTTCAAATCACTTGGATGAAACTCATTGGACCATTCAAATTCATTCACTGATTGGTAGATAGTGATACTTAAAGTTTGACTCGACCGTAAAATGTAATACGTTACACAAACAGACAAATCTGATTGTTTACAGGATTTCATCATGAGCTGACATTAGTTAGAGAACCAACGGGAAATCTGAGAGTACTGGACAGCTGCTTCGTCAGACTAGTTTGGGACTCTTCATCAGTACGCATCCACCGCCAGGGTTCGAACCCAGGATCTTCTGGTTACAAGGCGAGCTCGTATACCATGGTATACCAACCAACACTTGAATACCAATGAGAAGCTCACTGGCGACTGGCCCTATTCAGGTAGGTAGTTACCTGGGTTCCAGTGGGAAGTCGTGACCACTAGGGTGCAGCGGGTCGGGTGTGAGGACAAATACTCGCCGAAGATATTGGCTAGCGGTCACGCTATGTCGTGAATTGGCAGAAGTTAGAATTCAAGGACCATTGAATTGCGTCCCAGTGGCTTAATGGTATATGCGCTTGCCTTGCACCCAGAAGGTCCTGGGTTCGAACTTCGGTGGGTGCGCACCGCTGAAGAGTCCCAAAATAGGACGAAACAGCTGTCCGGTATTCCCAGGTTTCCCATTGGTTCTCTAACCAATGTCAGCTCATGATGAAATCCTGTAACCAGTCGATCAAATCCCTGCAAACCAACACTTGAAAATCTGATTCTCACAAAGAGAAGACAGTTTTGTTAAATGCATATTTATTTCAGTTGTGCATGTGTGTGTGTGTGTTTGTTACTTTTGTATCAGAGAGTTTATTTATTCTAAATATGTTGAATTGTCAGATGTTAACATTTCTTGCCTTCTTCAACTGCTTACTTACTGTTTCTGTCCATCAGACAGGATTTTCATAGGATGATATCTTCTTATAAACTTCATCAATGTCTGCGATCAGTGTGAGTCGTTCAAGTATTCTGCGACCGTATTGTCTAAGGAAAAAATTAATTTAAAAAAAAAAGAATAAATGACTAGTTTCAATCAGGATATTAATATTTAAAAACAATTGGTTCGCCCTTTATGAATTTAGACAATAAGCAATAAGAAGACGTAATTTTTTTAAATCGTGTTATGTATGTATTTATGCGCGCACAACACATTTTGAACAATCTGATCACACTCCACGGACTCGTCATAGGAATGAATATATATGAAATGAAGGTCAAAATAATAATCAAGATCACCAAATCAAATAACAGAGGTAACAGAACATCTACCCTGGTCGGTATCAAAACAAATTTTACGAAGAAAAGTTCAGTGTGATGACGAATTGTTGTTTTGAACGCATAAAGGTGGCTTGAACTTTCTAATTGCTAGGGCTTCCATAAACTTTAGGATACGCTCCAAACACGTTTTATAGATAGTTTTAAAAGATGTGTAAACATTATTTTCATGTCCTGTCTATATAATATGTTTCTCAATAGAGGGGCTAGGTGTCCTATTCTCACCACTAATGGGTTGTGAGGATTCTGTTCGCTTTTGAAGCCATTTAAGAATATGATTTGAAGCTCTTACTTGCAGAGATCAATGAGCCTCCTTACTATGTATATGTTTAAGTCCATACTTACATTCAAATAGGTAAATACAGTGGGATTTGCCATCATTTTTCGCGTGTTCCAACGACTTAGATGGATATATTAGCTTCGCGTTCCGTGTGGAATATACGTCTTTAAGAGTTTGAAGTTTCATCGGTAGTGGTGCTGTTTTCCTATGGAATTACGATGTTAGCTTTATGCCCATCTTTCCGGCTTGTATAACAATTAGTTAGTTAGATCTCAGCCACCCAATATTGGGCTGTAAGCCATACTTGCAGTGTGCTTGGGGTGGGGTGGGGTGGGGGGCTAATCGTACTGTGGTGAGAGCTGTCTGCTAGCCGAAAACTGGTAGACAGTAATTTATGTCAATGTTTATGTCCCAAATATTACTATTATATCTTTTAATTCCTAGAGTAACATAGGGCTTCAGCTGCGCGTCTCCATTGCCTTCAGTTTTCTGCCAACTTTTTCACCCCGCTACAAGTCTGCCCACATGCTTTCATCTCCTTCTCACATGACCTCCTCCAAGTCACCCTTGGACGACCAACTCGTCGCTTCCCTTTCAGGTTCCACTCGAGCAAGGGCTTGTCTAGTAATGCCACTTGATGGTTTCCTCAGAGTATAGCCTCCAATCCACCTCCATATCTTCCCGCTTATTTGTTGCGCAATCGGTTCCTGGTCGGTTTGCTCCCAGAGACCCCTGTTGCTGATCTTTTCTGGCTGGCCATCTGATCTTGAGTATTGAGCGAAGACAACTGTGTATGAAGGTCTGTAGTTTGTTTGAGATGCTCTTTATGACTCGCCAAGTCTCTGACTTCACATTAGAGTTGAAAATCTGGATCTTATTTTCATTTCCATCCTGATGAGTGCTGTTGACCTCCACACAAACTTGATGTGAGTAATGAAAGCTTGCTTTTCTCTCCTGATCCTTGCTTTGATATCCTCGTCAGTTTCGCCTGTAGTTGAAATGATGCTTCCCAGGTAGGCGGTGAAGGAGGTTGTTTCTTTCAGGTTCCTCCCATTTATGCTGGCTGATTGTTGTCCGTTGTTGTTGTTGTTGCTGCTGTTGGTCAGGAATCTTCGTAACCTCTGTTTTCTTCATGTTCACCTGAAGTCCTATCTTTGATGCTTCTTCTGCCAACTTGTTGGCAGAATATTGTTCATGTGAAAACAAGAAGAAAGACTGACTCAACAACCAATCACTGCAGACTTTGTTTGCGTAGGCTGATACAGTTAACATATAGAGGATCTGACATTCAAGAAACAGCCACAAAGAGATGAAAGATTAACTTTCAGTGAGAAAAGACCAATCAGAGGTCTGTGTTTCTCTGCTAACAATAACGCTAATAATAATGTACATGCAAATCTATAAATATGTGTTGATTTCCTTAATATACGTTGTGTTGCCTAGTCCTTATCTTCTGTTTTTACAATACTACCCAGTTGCTCACTCTGAAGTAAGTGGAGTGCGAATCAAACCTGAAACCCAACGATTGAAAGTCAACTGTTTAAACCAATGGGCTACGCTACGGAAGGCGAGGTTTATAAGAGTCAGTCAGTCTGGAGTCTAACTATGTTCTCCCTCAGAAATTTATTAACAGAAGATGTGAAGGTTCAAATTCCAATACCACACCACTAGCCAAAACCTATCCTGCAGCTAAGTTGGTTCCTGTTTATCAGATAACATGATCTTCGGGGCAGTAAAAAGTCGACAGATACCCTTCTCAAGATAATTTCACCAATGTAAACAAATTAAAATGTATCAATGGTAGCAATTATATTGGGAGAATACAAAGAACGGCACACCTTCGACTTTCTGAATATGTACCAAAAAGCCTATGTCTCAAAAGAACAAACGCTTACAATTGTGTCATTGTCAGGCATCTCGTCAATAGGGGTCATGAGCTGGACATCATTGAAATTCGTTAAAATTACTAATAGAAAAAAATGGTTCAATTCTCCTCATGCCTGAAACCAAATTTATTTGTTCAGAAATTAACAGTTATCAGTCTTTCACTACCTTGGTAACTGGATGTCTTTACTCTCTCTCTCTCTTTCTCTCTTACATATGATTACGTAATCTTTGGCCTCAACCTCTCCTCCCTTTGATTTGGTCTAGTTTTACTTGTTCCTTGTCTCTATGACTTGAGATGAACTCACCACATTGTTATTCACTCTGTTATTTGCTCATTATCCTTTCCCCTCTCGTCTTTATTACGTAACTCTTTTGCCATGGTATAGAAACATTTATCTCTATAGCGAAAATATTCATTCAATATATTAAATATTCCCATAGTAAAATTTAGAACAACACATTTAAGCGAACAATATTGTTGTTTTTAATTACATCTCATCAGGCTTAACTCTAATCTATATAAGTTTACAAATAAAAATTCAAATATAAACCAATCATGGTGATTTGTCTACAGGATAATAAGATGGTGAACATAAATTGTGCAATTAGTCATAATAGTAGTAATGATAATATTATTAGTAGTAATAATAATAACAATAATGGTCTTATCAATAATAAGAATGAAAAAGTGAGGCGATCTGTGGTAACACAAATGATGAACAAAAACTGCATGATTAGGCAAACAACCGTTCAGGTGGAAGTAGTCGATAAAGGCTAGTAAAAACAAATGAACTGATTAAGTAATGTTAGATTGTAAGGGAAGTAAATGAGACACGTTTTTAATGAAGATGTGATAAGATTAAGGGATGATGAGAAAGGGGTTGAAAACATAAACAAGGGGTGGTGTGAAAGTCATCAGTTGGTTATGTCTTAATATGCCAACAAGGGAGGATGTGGTGATTGACAATTTCTATCTCTGTATTGTTTAAATACTTACTGTTGACTGTTGATATGTTTCTTATATGAATTGCATTCTAATTCCGCTAAATACAAATTACTGATTGCTGCCCTCTCTGGGTTTTGATTAGATTCCTATAATTCCGTCATCCCGGTATATTAATATTCCAAGTACAATAAATTACTACAAATTGGCGTCGCGATGGAGCTAAGTAACCTGGGAAAATTTCCTCTTAATGGTTCTCCGCGGGAGATTGCTGATTATTTGGAATGCTTTGATGCGTGGTGCATTTCCAAGAATGTTCGGGATGATAAAATACCTGCTCATTTCATCACCGCTATTGGTCTTGATGCATATAGCCTGGTGAAGAATCTGGCGTTTCCAGATAAACCCATTTCTATGCCATATGCTAAGCTCCGTGAACTTCTTATAGATCACTTCCATGTAACTACTTTTGAGACCAGAGAGAGGGCTCAGTTCAACAAACTGGTACGTTCTCCCAATCAGAAGATAAGAGACTTTATACTACAACTCCAAATTCAAGCCTCAAAGTGTAATTTTGGAGATCAGCTGCATACACAACTACGTGATCGTCTAATTGCTGGAATCAACATTCCTAAATTAGAGAAAGAGTTAATTCAGATTCCTTCTTGTACGTTTCAAACTGCTAAAGATGTATGTATTACATATGAAGATGTCAATAATGAATACTCTGCTCCCACTACGTCAGTGTCTGATGTTATGCTTTCTAAAGTCGAAAATACAAGTGTTCATGGAAAGCAATCCAAACTGCCGTCCACAGGTAATAGAATGCAGCGAGAGATCAAAAACATTAAACCGTGTTTATCCTGTGGAAAGTTACATCTACGAAGCACTTGCCGTTTTCGGAGTGCTAAGTGCTATAAATGTGGTAAAGTTGGACACATCAAGACGGTTTGCAGGAGTTCGAGTACTTATGTTGCTCAACATTCTTATAATTCTCCCAAGCTGTCTAGTAAAATGGAGTCTATGTGTCTTTCAACTTTTCAAAATACTCAAGCTAATCCAACGAAAACCTCCACTGCAAGTTCAGCAACGCAAGTATCAACTGTATTCAAAAATGAGGTAGCTAAGTTGCAATGTGAACTGTCGAAAGCACGAAAAGACCTGAATGAGATGAGAGAGCAACTGAATAAAATTGAGGAATTACTGCATATGCATAGACTACGTCTGGTGAATCCAGAGCATACAAGTTCTTGTGAAAGTCCTGCAAAACTATTCAAATCTCGAATTCTCAAAAAGCATCTGATGTCCACTACTTCTAATGTACATTATTACAAAGATAATAACTACAGACCTTCTGTTGGAATTATACTACAAAAAATGGGAAATCGAGTGGTGAAGATATTAGACATCAAAGATCACTCAGTTCATAACGGACACCTGGACAAAGTGACAATAAATGAAGTAGGTCGTTCCAATTATAATATTATTGATTCCGCTAATAATCCTGATTTTGTAGATAATTCAGAAATAAGTCCAGATAGTACTGATGAAAATAATATCACAGAATCAGTTAGGTCGAAGCTACTTGCAAGCAAACCG